AGGTAGGATAGGTGGTAGGTAGGTATGGTAGGTAGTAGGTAGGTAGGTAGGTAGATAGGTACGTAGGTATAGGTAGGGTAGGTCGATAGGTATGGGTAGGTAAGATAGATAGGTAGGTAGGTAGTATGGGGGAGGTAGGTAGGTAGGTAGTAGATATGTAGGTAGGTAGACTATGTAGGTAGTAGATCTGTAGATAGGTAGGTAAGTAGGTAGGGACGCAGGCAGGTAGTATAGTGGGAAAATTCCGTTATATTCGCAGACCGAATTTCTCTTGTAGCGCACATTGACTAAGTAACGACCGCACGCAGCACTGTGGTGAAGCTGCAATGATTCCAGGGGTGCGGTTTAGTTGTCATTTAGCCGCAGAACGTATCAAAGCCCCTCCAGACGACCACCATACCAGGTTGAAAGCACCGATTGAAACAAAGTGCCGCAGTGCGACAGGGCTCATCTGGGGGGAGTCCGTCTATATTCAGCCGGTACGTGGAGATTACGGTACGCATATATTTGCTAATATATTGACTAATCGTGGCGTCACTAAACTCAATATTCACGAGAGAGTATAGCTAAGACATGTGTCTATAGGTATCTAGGAAGTTTTAGAAAATTTAATCATCTGTAATCACTTCCGCGCGGCATATATTTGCTATATTGACTAATCGTGCGTCAATAAACTCAATATTCACAGAGTATGATGAATTCAACGCCGGTACGAGGAGATCATTTGCATAATATAATTCTAGCATACCTATAGAGCACATGTCTTAGCTATTCTCTCTGTGAATTATTGAGTTTATTGACGCGTGATTAGTCAAGTAGTATGTGAGGAGGATAATTATCATGCGTTTACCGTAATCTCCTCGTAACGGCGCTGAAATAGAACACCTCTCCCATCTGGTGTCCTGGTGGGATCTGGCTGATAAATTCATTTGTGCATAGCAAAATTTAAGACGTTTATACATAAGTCTTCTTCTATTCTTGGTTTGACTTTCGTAGCATTCTGAACAAATGATATCAAGTGTTATCACTTTCGCACCCACGTAATCTGCTATGCATTGCCAGACACATGTGCATTGCAGGTTGGCCAGGCAACAAATTATGTTAGAGAGCGCTGCCAGCCATGGGCTGCCCCGTGTTTTTGCCTACCCACGGAGCATTCACCTGATTCAGCCTTCAAACCTACCATACCTATCTACCTACGTACCTATCTACCTACCTACCTACCTACCTACCTATCTACCTACCTACCTACCTACCTACCTACCTACCTACCTATCTACCTACCTATCTACCTATCTACCTACCTATCTACCTACATACATACATACTGGCCTATACCTACCTACCTACCTACCTACCTATCTACCTATCTATCTACCTACCTACCTACCTACCTACCTACCTACCTACCTACCTACCTACCTACCTACCTACCTACCTACCTACAGACTTAGAGACAATTTTCAATAGCTAGGAAGTTTTCCCTTCCCAGATGTATTAAGTATGATCTTCGAGTACACATACAAGTGTGATCTCGGCGACTAATCTATGGGCAGAGCCCGTCGGTAAAGACTCTAAAGAGACACCCGGTTTGCCAAACCACCCAATCCCGCTAATATGGACGAGGGCATACCGCTCAGGACCCGACTACAATATAATATAAGCGACCGACCTAGCAATCAGTTTATTCTAAAGCACTGGTGAGTACTGGCACGCGCTTAACATTTTACTAGCCATATTATCAGGAGTGATACACTCCTGATATTATGTCACATTTTTAACCGTGTAGCATTCCTATCTTCGCCATACGCGGAGGAAAGCCTCATTGCACCCCACGCACACCGCCACACTGCGCCGCCATAGGTTATAGCACCTCTATTGCACCATTCACTTCTCAGATCATTCCCAGTCTAACAACATCTCTCATGCTCACGAACTTACCGCTTTCCCGTTGTCAAATAACTATCTTGTGAGTATACACGCGGGCGCATATTGCATGGCACGCACCCACGCGTACCCGCTCACACACGCGCCCGTACTTCTCCCACGCACGTTGCAGGAGGCAAATCACACTCCAGGGGCGAATATCGTCTAAGAAATCTTCTGTCGCTAATACTCCCACGGTCGTACACTAGCAAAACGCAATTTTCATGACGAATCGCCTCCATATGATTTCTCTAAACAAGATACACGGAAACATGCGCGCATTTCCTCAAGCAACGTCCGAAACACCAAATTAGACTCGTAGTGATGGGATTCGAAAAAAAAATTACGGTCTTAAATTAATCTATGCCTATGCCTAGTATGGGTTGAAATGCCAGGCTATAGTCATTCCATTTTGACAGCCCGTGTAGCAACAGACCCGTTAACATGTAACCGAGCACTCGGATCAGTTCCCCCTTTACACACACACACACACACACACACACACACACACACACACACACACACACACACCAACACCACACACCACACACACCACAACAACACAGACACACACACACAGCAACACACACACACACACACCACACACACACACACATACAGCACGGCAGCAGCGCACAACAGCACAACGCAACCACAGGGTTCGCACGCACGCTAGCACGCACGCACGCACGCCACGCACAGCACATAGCCAAACATGTGTATGTGTGCGTGCGTGTGGGTGTGCCTGTGACGCGAGCGCGTGTGTTGTGTGTCTGTGTGATGTGGTGTGTGTGTGTGTGTGTGTAGTGTGTGTGTGCTTGTGTGTGTGCATGTGTGTGTGCGTGTGGTGTAATGTGTGTGGGTGTGTTGTGTGTGTGTGTGTGTGTGCATGTGTGTGTGGTGTGTGTGTTGTCTCTGTGTGTGTGTGTGTGTGTGTGTGTGTGGTGTGTGTGTAGGTGTGTGTGTGTGGTGTGTGTGTGTGTGTGTGTGTAGTTGTGTGTGTGTGTGAATATGGGTGTAATGTGTGAATGTGTATATATTGGTGTGGTTTTATACGAGAGTGAGATGCATTGCCTGTGAGGGACGTAGTGGAGTGTTGAAATGATTTAAAAGTTACTTTGACAGAAAGTAGGCCCCTACTAATCGTTTTTGTATCACAAATTTTTCATGTTGGTGCGTGCGTGTGCTTGCGGTGTGTGCGCGCCGTGTGCGCGCGCGGCTGTGCGTGTCGTGCTGCGTGCGTGCGTTGCGCTGCGTGCGTGCGTGCGCTGCGTGTGTGTTATATTTATTGTATGATGATATTTTTTTGCTTATTTTTTACGAAGTTGCATCCCGAAAATTGTTGTAAAAGTTGTTTTGGGTTGCAACATGATTAACGAGGCCGCAACGCTAGGCACAGTACATAAACATGATACAAGATTGCGTGGATCCGCTTTGCTGTGGATCGCTGAGCTGCTTGCGCGGCGGATGAGACCCAGTTCGCGCGGATATGCGCACGCGAACCGCGGGGATGTGTCAAGGTAGAAGTGCTGTCCGCAGTGGAGACGTGGCGGCGCGAAATTCGATGCCCAGCGCACGTCTCCACAGCGGTCAGCGGATGGTCTGTAGTTTTAGAAGATAACAATAAAGACTTTGTTCTAAATAAGAACTATCGGCGGCTAAATAAGAGCAATATACACACCTTTCAATTTTTTGAATAGTCAGTCAAAGGGCTTGTTGGGGGTCCATTATGCCGAGCTTCCAATTGAAATGGCCCATGAAATTGTCAAGTGGAATTGTGTTTTTCGGAACCCCACAGAAAATGTCTCCCTCTTACATGCACCCCTCCCTGATCAATCACGCATTCAGGCGTAAACAATAACAGAGATGAAATTGTGTTGAGTTTGTGGCTCTTGACGCACGTGCATTGACGTACAAGACTGTTGAAAGCACAGGCACTTGGAACGTCTCAATAAAAATAAATATTCACAAAATTTTTCACAATGATCCACCGCATGTGTGCAAAATAGGTGAACGTATGTGAAACATATACGGTTAGTACTTACTGTCACAAATCCGTGACTAACTGACACCAATAAATTGATAAAATGTTCCATGCACCTTAAGAAATTCTGAGAAATTACGAGGTTATCAGCGCAGAACTCCTGACACGGCCCATCCTGATGTGACAAAGCTATATGTAAACAAGCAGGCGTGTTGCGAGGTGCCTGCCTCCGATATCCATTTCGAGGGCCGCTAAGCCAAGCATAAAACACGCGGGCAAGACGTCACACACACAGCTACGTTCATTGGCTAAAACAATCGAGTAGCGCGGTCAGGGATTTTCGGAATTCTTTAATTTTAAGAAAAACTTCAATGTTCAATGAATGACGCACTCGTTCACTTCCGAAAGCGGGTAAAAATGCCGAATTTTTCCACTTCGATGCAAAATGCATCGGCCGGGCCTTTCATTATTTACGAAAAGCAAACGGTCTCGCCAAACACCTACACGCAGTAACTGGTCACGTCGTTGACGCCCCATTCATGCCCATCAACGAAGAAGGCGGGGCTTATTCTGATTACGGAGATGCGAAAATGCCAAACTCTATCGTATAGGAAACCGTTCTAGCCTAGCAGAATGCCCTAGTTCTTGAGATCGGCGATTCCGTACGTCGATGGGTCCCCACCTTTGAAATTATAACGGAGGGGTGCGGCGTACGCTGTGATTGGAAGACACAAAGTGTCGGCCCGCCTCGGCGCGCCTCCCACTCGGCGCGCCTCGGCATCATGGCCGCATCACGTCTACGTCATTTTTGCAGCCAACCTTAAAAAAGCAACATAATTTTTTTTTTTCACAAGGCATTTCTGTGATGACCCCAGAACACCATCCTAAAAGTCCTAAGAAATCCTCCCACGCAAATTTGCATAATTTGCATAAATCCAAAATGGCCGCCAATTTCCATCATTTTGCAATATCTCTGCTATCCAAAGACATATTTCAGTGATTTAAAGTTTTATTTTAATTATTATTGGCATGGGCAATGCGTTTAGCTATATTAGAATGCAAATGGGTCACTCCCTGACATGCAAAAATGCAATATGGCCGCCATAATTAGCATAAATCCAAAATGGCCGCCAATTTTCATTATTTTGCAATATTTCTGCTATCCAAGGATATACCGGTATTTGAGTAAATGAAAGTACTATTATGATGATTGTTGGCATGGAGAATGCATTTACCTATATTAGAATAAAAATGGATCACTTCCTATCATGCGAAAATGCAATATGGCTGCCCTAATTTGCATAAATCCAATATGGCCGCTATAATTATATGTATAAATGTTCATCTTGCATGAGGATTTCTTATTCGGATTGCCAAATGGTTAATTTTTTAGACTACAATAACAAATACTATGTACATCTTTATCTCATTATTATTGATTGCCATATATTACGAAATTAGAATTGTTCATTGGCATCTTTGTATCAGAAGACTTTAAACTGCAAATTTCTTCAAACATACTCGGCATGCAAGGACATTATATAACAGTACATTGTTTAGTCTTCAATATAGTGGTGTCAGGTATTTGCGCGTTAGAGCAGCTTGTGCCACGACACTCCGTACAGGCTGCTGTACAAGGCATGCCATATTTCTTGCAGCTGCATCTTCTTGAAGAGCAGTCCTTCTTACAACCACAATACACAATATCTAGAAGCTCTGATGGTGCTGCAGGTAGATAAGTCAGTATTGGCAGGTAATTATTGTCCACAACTCGCCATCCCCCATCATCAGGTTTCATTTAAACTTCTCCTTTCTATTCCATTACCTGATAATACACACGACAGCTGTGAGCCTGTGATACCTTGCCGCTGCTGATGATGGATGTAGCGTCTGTGGCTCTACATGAGCATTGCACTTCACGACATTGTCATAAAAACGCTTGTATCTCAGGTCATCTAATTTTTCATGTCTGTCACCACTATAGAGTGCAACTAGGGCCTTCTCTCTGGACTCGCTGATTTTGGTAATCGCCTGTCCAGATTTCATAAATACCTCGGCCTGCTGCTAAAACGTTGCATCATTCGTAAGTTTACTTATAGCTAGTTCTTTCCTTAAGCCGAATGGACGAGATGTGGTATCACAGCCGACTATGGCATGGGCGAACAGGATATTGTCAATCACTAATGGGCCAAGTACCTCTTTTGCTTTTTTGATGCACCATATCTTGTTTTTTGTGAGGACTGTTTGGATTCAGGTGCAAAGAACAGCTCATGGGAATCCATTTCAGCATGATGGAGTAGTAGTACCAGCAAATCTGTGTCATCTCCAGCCAAAACAGTGTCACGAGATCTTGCGGATGATATGGAAGTCTTCACTATGAGGACGTCCGCATGAGTCATTCGCATGATGTGTGGTACAACTAGACTTCTGAATTTCAGAACTTCGATGGTTCAGGAAGCGTTGCTTGTTTGTGGCGTTGCTCAGGAATTCCTCCTTCTTCGTCTGGATGACCATACTACCCGTAAAATTGACTGTAACACTTGCGACGCCACCTGTTCTTCTGATGTGTGTTCCATCTTTTCTTGTTGGCCTGTCACTGTAGCCGTCAAATACAACATCAGCAAGTCCATACGTATGCACAACGTATGTAACATACATTTTACACACGTCATCATATGTGGACTCTCTTGGCCATGGAAGTCGATGGAGGAGAGCACCACCATCTAGGACGTAGTGCATAGCTCCACTGGGCTCTCGTTGCACTTCTTCTACGATGTTCCACAGAGCATCGGCGAGGGCTGGCTTTCTGGCCGTCATTGGAAGACCGAAGAATCAAACAAGGCAGGAGGGTGACCGCACAGCTCATATTTGAATAGTGATGGCAAATTTCCTGAGTGCTCACCAACAAAGACCAGTCTCTGGAATATCAGCTGCGGGTCTACTTTCACAGCTTGTTCTTTGATCTTCATTGTAGATTTGGAAGCGATGGTAACTGCTTAGTCAGCTTTTCGGAACGTGAACTCTTCCACTAATTTGTCGACCATAGAGGCAAGAATATTCTCACCAATCCGTCTGGATTTCTCAACATTGACGCCATCTTGTGCTGACATGCCATTGACAATGTTGAAAAGTGACATAGTCTCAACAAATGGGTCTCTCTCTCGAAGAAAGCTGGTTATATCGAGTGTCATTAACATCTCTGGTTTGACGAGCCTTTGAACAGTCCTTGTGCTGCTCGTTTGTTTTATAGGAAACCCCATTCAGCTGCTGCATGGCTTCATTGATGTTTGCACATGCTGGTCATTGAGAGAACCCATATCAAGCGTTGTGTTTCTGTCATCCCCTTTCTTCTCGTCAGTCCCCCATTTGTCTTCAAACTTCTCATTAGAACCTGCTCGATGATGAGATCTGTTGATAATCCTGCCCAATACCTCCCACTTCGCCTCACTACGTGGTACTCCTCTTCAAACTTTTTGTAGACGTCTGGATGTGTTTGTGGCAAGTCACGCATCATTTGCAAGTATAAGTATGCAGATTTTGCATACATATTGTGGCCCAAGGCAGCGAAAATTTGTAAAATTTCTCGTATGGACTGAAGATGCAATTTCCAGTTGCCATTCCGCTCAGCTTTTAGGAATCTACGCAGTATGTCTATTATCTCCATATATTGTAGCCCCAGCAGTGATGTTCTCGTTGTCCTCTTCTGGTTTATCTCACTCATTTTTCTCTGGATTCTCCTTAAAACATCAGCAGAACACATATTCTTCTATTGACATCGTGGCAGACATTGCCCTGTCATACAATGTTCTTACCTCTGTCAAATCTGTCTCTTCAGTATCTTTTTGTATAGCGTTGGTGGGACCATCAAAACCCTCTGTCTCTCCTTCGGGGGTCTGTGCTGCCACTGTCTCCTTGGTCGGTAGGGGCACATTGTAAGCATCAGCAATAAGAATGGTGTTTAGTGCAGCGTCTACTGTTACGTGCTGCACAGCCACGAAGGCATAGCCAAAACCAGAACCAGTGGAGAACGTTTACACAAGCATTTAATCAGCTACACAAACGTGTGCTCCGTGCCCTGTCCACGGCCCAACTGCCTCGCGTATACACGTGTACGTTACACCCATCTATTTCCACGTGTGTCGCCACCTAGTGGCTGACTAGGCTATTCCAGACATGTATTACAACACTTAACATCTTTCCCCTTTTGGAAAAACTCGATCTAGCTCAACACTAATCAACACTACTTCTTAAGTCATCAAAATAACACAACCCAAATTATTAAAATACCAGAACACAAAACTAACTATTTTCACAGTCCTCATTGGTAGTATGACTTAACGTTATCGCTTTACAAGAATTTAACTTATATCACATATCATCAATACATCACAAATTATACCTTCTTGTGCCACCGATACGTGTTACATAAATGAACGATCATAGCTGAATAAAATAAAACCGCTTAACATAAGACGTGACACTCTATCATCCGATACTACTGATGTTACTGCCTAAACCTCACAGGCATTTTAACAGTTCTGCCGAATCTGGTTGTCTTTACATCGGCGACTGTTGCCATCTTTGTTTTGCCAACCGCCGATGCTGATGGTGGCTGAGGTACGTCAAAAAGGGGTGCGATTGGCACTTGCGCAGGAAACGCTGGCGACGTCGCTTGTCGCAGCTCTTGTCGTGGCTCATGTGGCTGGCTGTCGCTCTCTGTGGCAATGCGGAATTTGGCTCAGCTTGGTTAAGGCGGCAGCGAGTGTGCTGACATGTCACACTTCCTGAGGTGGCGTCTGTTCCTTCGGAAGACTTTTCCTTGTTCCGTAGGCATCTCAAATGAGCGACCTGTCAGCTGCTTTGACACTCTTGCCTCCTGCCACTCTCTCTTCCCGGGAACCAGCGGCTGCATCCTCACAGTGTTACCAACTGCGAGCCGGCTAAGTTCCCTGCAGTTACGCCTGCTCTCTCTAAGCATCCGCTTTCTCTCTTTAGACTGTGCCTTCCTTATCAAGTCAGCATACCCAGGCTTCAACTTTGCTTCACTGATGGGCATAACAGTCTTTGTGCGTCTTCCCAGCAGCCTTTGAGCTGGGCTGGTTGACATCCCCTCTGTTGGTGTGTTTCTAGCATTTAGAAGACCTAAGAACGGGTCTTCCCCAGAGGCCTTGCCCTTCCTCATGAGCCTCTTCGCAATCTTTACAGCAGCCTCGGCTGCCCCGTTGGCCTGACTGTTGCCAGGGCTGATTAACTCATGGTGAAACTTCCAGCCACGTGCGAATGACCGGAACCTCGCTGATGTGAATTGATCAGCATTATCCGTGACGACTGTGTCAGGGATACCATATCTCGAGAAGTGCCCCTTAGGCTTCATAATCACGGCTTCAGCAGTTGTCTCACGCAGCCGGTCAACCTTAAAAAAGTTGCTATGATAGTCCACTGTGACAAGGTAATCACAGCCTGCCCACGACAACAAGTCCGATGCCACCTTTTGCCAAGGTCTCTGAGGTACCTCCGTGATGACTGGTGACTCTGCACGTTGTTTCACTGAATATGTCGCGCATGTACCGCATGCTTCCACATATTGTCGGATCTCTGCCGACATACCCGGCCAGAAGATCAGGTCTCTGGCTCTCCGTAGACACGAGTTTATTCCTAGATGCCCTTGATGCACATTCTCCTTCACTTCTTTCCTTAGACTGACTGGGACGACGATTCGTCCACCTCGCAAGATAATTCCACCCTGAACGGCAAGCTCGTCGCTGTAGCTAAAGTACGAACGTAGACTCTCTGTCAAGTCCCTTACCTCGCTAGGCCATCCTTTCATGATGACCTGCCCCAGGGCCACAAGGGTGTCATCTGACAACGTAGCACCGCTGATCTGAAGTAACCTTTCATCCTTCAGTGGATGGCACGTGATGTTGTGCACATTCACAACCTCCTTCTGGGTTTGTTGTGAAGTGGGCGTGTAACCCGGGTGGAGTAGTAGAGTCTGAAAGGATGGAGTATGCTTAATAAAATAATTCAGACGACGAAGTCCCGAACGAACGAGTTTTAATTACTCAACATGGCGGAATGCGATAATGCTAATCCCAGAATCCCCCACGCGCGCGAGACTATTGTCAACGTCAGGGTAAGAGGCTATTCCAAAAATTATAGTACCTGTTTTAACCCTACTCTTTCTCTGTCAGCACACGTCCCCAGCCTTTCAAAATGTCGTCCGCAGACATTCGGACACCGCCGAAACCCCATCAAAACAAATCTCAACAAACGAAGCTGCACGAAGCTTAGAAAGGGCTAAGGTGGAAAACCTAGCGGTCTAAGGAGATTACTGCCTTCCTTAGACCAAACAGTAGAACATGACTGCTCAAGTGGCATCCTTTAAACATGTATTGTCCAAATAGACAACACTGCTATACCTCCAACACTGCTTCCACAAGGAATGTGCAGCTAAAAGTAGGCATGACACTCCAAAGCCCGATACGCAAAAAAAAACAACAGAAAGGCTCCTTCCAAATTAGATCCCACACCCCCCGCAACACCTCAACCCTGGAAACTAAGGACTGAGCGAGTCCTTTAATCAGCAACCCAAAAGAACAAATTCATGAAGAACAACCTTTGTCAAAAAGAACACCTAAAAAGAGCCGAGAGAAGTGCGCACTGTCTAGGCATGGCAAGTTATAAACATTGCAGAAAATAACCATGCTCTCTCCTGTCAGCATCTCCCAGCAATAACCGCGGTGCAAGCCGTTCTTGGCAACAGTCGCATGACAAATCTCCTAAGAGGGCTGTTGGTCCCAACGGTGGATGTCCAGCGTGGTGAATGTGACCATGACCCACCCCCCCAGTCAGCCCGGTGTGTTCGCAATTTAGGCCAAATACGATTGGAGGGTAGGCATCCATCATTTGGACGGCCTCCCCCGCCCCCCACCTTTGCATCGACTCAGGCCTGTGGCGGATGTTGAGGAAGGGTTCCCTAGCCCGCTCGATGTCAATCAGCCGGGGTGGTCTCCTTGTCCTTCTGCGCTCTCACGAGACGCGACCTCTCCAAGTATCCCGAATCCTAATTCCTCCGATCCGTCGATTCTGCCCGGCGCCTCCTCGCGGTCCGCTGTCAATGCCGAGACTGGCTGTGACACCTCAGGAAGTGACGCCCTAGAGGCCTCTTCTGCCTGTTCCGGACTGTTCCGGTCTCCGGCGGCGCTAGTCTATGGACAACGTGTCCGTTAACTTGGCCGACTGCCTCGTCGGAGCTGATCTCTGTCCTCGGCCTGACTTCTGTCCTGGGTGTGACTGGAACGGACAAATCTCGTGTGGCTCATCAACTGGATGAAGTCAACTGTCCAACACACCGTTGCTGGCTGACGGACTCGGCCTTTGTGCCAGAAGCGAGATTTATCCATCTAGCTCCCCCTGGTGCGATGCGAGCGTTATACATGTCGTGGTTTGACCCTTCCAGTCTTTCGCACCGGGTGTAAGCGTTCGCATACTGTGAACTCAGTCACACTCGGAAGGCAGACATGTTCCTATGAAGAACAGAAGCAGGCGCAATGCGCGCAACGACCCACTCTCGAGGCTGGACGCTTCGCTGAAACTGGGGCATCCTCCGAGGATCCTGCGAGTCTGCGTTACTGGACAATACATCTTTCCTCTCCCGCATTGAGAGAATCTTAGGTTTTTCACTAGGCCCTCCCCGCCGCTCGGGCCCGCTGGCAAATTACGGTACGAGAGACCCTCGGTCTCCAGTCTTCTAATGCGAATGCCTAGAAATCGCCTTGTCATATTGCCTTGTTGGACATGTGTGCGGGCGGCCTGGTGAAGCCTTTCTTCCGTGCCATCTCGATATGCCTGCCTGCATTCCTTATCCAAACCACTGTTTCTGCGGGTCCCTCGGCCACCGGGCAGTCCAAGCCAAATAAACAAATCAAGGTAATCTCGCGGCGTGAGAGCGGATGAGGTACAGTAGACCCGAAGAAGACGGTGAGAATTCCGTCGCCCTCATGCCAGTGCAATTGTATGCAAGAACCAGACGGTTAACTGAGCTTCCAGTGCTGACTTTAGCTGTTCCCGATCTAAAGTTCGGAGCATTCTAACAAGGTTGGCGATTGCATTCTCATCGCACTAAGCCGTTCCCGCTATCCAGGGGTGATCAGGGTGGTCGTCCTAGGAGTGCAGCCACTCCCACACTTCTGGTGTTCATGAGGCCTGGCGAACAATGTGCTATTGTCGAAACGTCTACCTGACCCTTGTCGGTGGTGAATCGCTGGGTCAGGGAAACACTCGAACCTGAGAAGTGCAAGTCATTGAATAGTGTACGGTTCAGCGGCTGCAGTCTTCCCAGCCTTGCTTGCCCAGACGTGGGGATCTAGCTTGGGCAAGCGAACGAGTAAAGGTGCTCAGATCAACTACCATAGAGTATTCATACGTGCCTCCTTGGATTATCTCTAGGTGAAAGAAAATATCTATCTGACTAAGTTCCATCGCAAGACAGTGACGCAGCTGGAGTTGCGTTTTACATCAGTTTCACGCCTGCGTTTTATGTGTGGTGGGTTTGTCCTTTCAAAACATTTACAGACTGGCTTGGTCACATAGTGTGTACGATCAACCGTGCCATCCCAGGCAGTGAAACCGATCTCGAACCACAACGCTGATAACTCTCTCCGTACCAGGGGTGTCCGCCATGACTTCTCTATGTAGCAATAATCGTGGGCAGGACGGCTACACGCTTCCGGACTAGTGACCCGGGGGAATACATAACTGGGTGATGCCTGGATCCATCTGCCGAAGAGTGAGACCTGCGATGCAAGAATGTCATCCAGTCCTCATTCCGATTTCTAGTCGGCGCTCCAATCACGCCCCAATATATCAGGACGCCCGTGGCGCCTCCTGTCGGTCATTGTTTCACTGGTAGGTTTGGTCCTCCTATTGCAACCATTCTTGACTTCTTGCAGGTTTGGATTCCACATCCTAAGTCCCGTCACGTTTGCTGGTCATCTTATTGTCGCAAGATCTGGAGTTGGCGTCACCTATAGCCCCATGCCTGCGGTTTTCTATGCGTTCACGGTGACCTGGAATTGACAACTTACTCCGACCAGTGTCAGCGATTACCCGGTCCACCATCATCGGCTCTCACATTGTTCTTTGATCTTGCGTTCCTGGTGCAGCGGATCTTGGATGTTAGTCCTCCACATTCAATGGCACCCTCGGATCAGGGCATCCGGCATTCTGTGGTTCTCCTCGATCCTGGCTGTAAAAACAGTTTAGAGATTAAAGTCAGCCATTCGGCCCACCCATCTCTGTCGTGTAGCGTCTAGTTTGGCAGGAGGTCAACACATAGGTCAGGGGGTTTATTGTCCGTGTACACGTTCAGTGTGACGCAATAGGTACAAAATAGTCCGTAAACATCTGCGCAAACGGCCCATTTTAAGTGCCAGAGAATTCCAGTTTACCAGAATGTAAGTGGTAATTTTTCTCCGCTGGTGTCAAGGTACGTGAACCAAAAGCAATGACCGCCAGTTTGTTATCTCGTTTCTGATACAGAATGGCTGCCAAACCTTCCTGAGATGCATCAGTATGAAGGACAAAGGAACTCTCAAAATCCGGGAATGCCAAAACCTGGGGACTAGTCAATACATCAATTAACTCCTCAAGTATAGATTGATGGAGGTCAGTCCAAGTCACCGACTGTCGTGAAGACACTTGTCCCGTCCCAGTCTTCCCTCTCTTCGTCTTTCCCTTCTTCTTCGTCTGGCGGGACTCTTCCTCCTTGGTCAGCAGGTCATAGAATCGGTTTTGCCTTCAGACTGAAACTTACTAATATACTGCGGAAGTAACCCAAAAGTCCCACCAGGTGGCGTACTTCTCCAACTGTTGTGGGTCTCAGGCGTTTTAACGCCACTACTGCCTCCAGATCTGCGGGGTCCATTCTCGTGCCATTTCTCTCCGACCAATTGCCCAGAAACGACATTCTTTTCTAAACACTACACACTTCCGGCACTTCAACTTTATCCCTTTCCCTCGAAGGCGGTGTAAGACTTGACGTACGTCGTCGAGATGGCGGTCAAAATCCGGAGAGTATACTAACACGTCATCCAGGTATGGAATACAACACTTGTCTCGGAGATCCCATAGGGTTTCTTCCATGAAGGTTTGGAATGTTCCGGGACACTGACTCAAACCGAACGGAATCCGGATCCCATTCGAACAACGACCACGGGGTAATGAATGCTGTCAAATGCCGACACTCTGGCTTCACAAACCCTTGATGATACGCCGAGCCCTGATCGAGAGTTGTGTACCATTGGCTACCCATTAGGCGGTTCAGAGTGTCCTGTATTCGGGGAATAGGTCTCTGGCTGCTAAGGGTCTTCCTATTCAAAGCACGGTAGTCAATGCACAATCTCAGCGAATTGTCAGACTTCTTCCGGACGGCGACCATAGGAGATGAGTAGTTGGAGTCCGACTTCTTGATCCACCCTTTATTCAACAAATCAAGGACATAATCCTTGACTTCAGTGTACAGTGGTGGAGGCAAGGACCGGTATGGTTGTTGAACTGGTACGTCGTCCAACAGCTTCAAATCTAACTGTAGATCAGGAACACAACCGCACAATCACTATCGTCCGAGGAAAGGCATGGCACTGCCTCGACGTAACATTTGTCTTACTTGCCTCACCTTGATCGCGTGTCAACAGCTCTTCGTCAAGATCCAACATCGGGATCCCACTGACCATCTCCAGTCTTATCCTCCTGGCTTGACTCCACGTCCTGGTCGGGCGATAGCCGTTCCAATCACCAGTCCCCCTTGACGTCTCACGGGCCGCTGTCCCAGGGTCAGTCTCATAAGTCTCAGGCGGCCGCAGGGTCACAACAGAGTTCACTGAATTGAGATTGCCTAAACAAGAGCCCTTACGAATAAACAAAGGAGAGTTAGACTTGTTCTTGACCGGGACATTGAACGAGCAGACCGAACCACGAGTCAGTTTTACAAGGGACTCCGGAATCTCAACATCTTCTCTACTTCCAAGTTCACCAGGCGCAAAAATGGCAACTTCCCCACCAAAGGCACCTCCCGACTTACAAAACATTTTAAGACTGCACAAGTCCCTGGTTTTACCATTAAGTTTTGTCTACCCGAACGCACAACGCCAACCTCTCCATCCTCTTCCTTTCTCAACAGCTGTACCAATGGCTCGACAATGTGTGGCTTTTCCTGGAAAATAGACTTCAAATCACCTGTATGGTTATCACGGACAAGATAAGGGATGACATTAAACCCTACCACTGGGTGCTCCAAAGGTGCAGCAGTCACCACAAATGGTACTGAATATGGTTTACCCTCCTCCACAGTCAGGTCTAATTCCACCCATCCAACAATACCTATTTGGTCCCACTGGCTGAATTTATGAGCAACCCTGATCGAAAAATTCTTTGATCTTTCGGATCTGCTTTCCAGGAAAATGCTTCTCAACCAGCCCTTCTCAATCAAGCTGACTTGAGCCCCGGTGTCCCACAAGGCTCCGTGTTGGACCCCATCCAAATTCACCGACACCATACATCTTTCACCCACCAACCGAACCAGTTTTTGTTTTCCCCGAGGAGACAGACCATGAACCGACCCCCGCAATTCTGCCGATGTAAGTTTACATTGTGCCCCCTGGTGTTTAGCTACTGTCCTTTATAGTACACACAACACTTTGTGTTCCTGCCAATGTCTCCTTTGACACTTCCCTCGAACAATAAACACCGGCATGACAACCCCGAACATTGTTTCACACGGCCAGCAATTACAGTCCGGCAGGTAACACAAACAGTTCAAGTGGGGTTTTATTGTCCTGGGTCACCCTACCCCCCTCGTGAGTGACCGTCTCTAGTTTTCCGACACTGGTGTTGCTGGACAGTCCCACATTCGGTGACCCTCCTTCCCACACTTGAAGCAATGAACGCATCGCTTGGTCTCGTTGGTCGCCTTGCAGTGTGGACACTGCCTCGAGGTTCTCTTCGTCATGCGGTTAGACCAGTTAGATGGTCGCTGATTTGGTCGCTCTGCCCCTTCCTTGGCCGAAGTAACAGCATTGGCGAGCCCCAGTTGCTGCTTCATCTCACGAACCTCGACGCGGAGGGAGTTAACTGCGGCACACAACTCCATCTGCTGAGGCGAATCGGTCAGTTCGGGTAATTGCACGGATTTGCAATTGACCCTGGCGGTGGGGCCCCGCTTGGCTAGTGTTTCGGCCTGTTGGCGGATCATTGCCGTGAAACCCTCAATTAGAGTCTCGTCAGTGGCATAACCGTCGATCTTGTTCTGCAGCTCCAGGCGGATGGTATCATCCTGGAGCCCTGTACACAACGAGCGTTTAAACTGTTTGTGAACAAGTTTCTCGCAATACTGGGCCTCACCATCATCAGAGGATGCGAATAAGATCTTCTGGCGGATAGCCAAGGCTCTAAATAAAAAATCCTGGCCCGACTCGCGTTGACCTTGACCCAACGCACAGAGGTCCTGGTACAGTTCCGTAGGTGTGCGTTCTTGGAAGAAAGATCGAATTATACGTGTCAAGTTCGCTAACGTCAAGGCACCACAGGCCTCGACATACCCACGCAGCCGACAAGTCGGCTTAATGGCACGCACAATTCCTTCCACCAACTCAAGCGCCGGAGAGCAGCCCACTCCGAACCTCCGCATGCCCCTTCTGCCTACCGGCGTCCACCTGGCGAACGAAACTCAGGTAGCTGAGTCCTTCCTCATCACCTATCGTCCCTGAAAGTTTGAAGTCCTTCCTGTACCCAACCAACTTCACGCTTGCGCTAGCCGCGGTACTAGTGGTAGCAGTAGTGCTAGCCTCATGCTTCGAAGACCGATCTCCGGAGTCTACAGTTGCAGCCTCGGCCAGCACCGATTTGTCCTCAGCCGACTCAACCTTGGTCTCGACCTTGGCATTGGGTTTTGTCGGCGTCCGTTCTACAAAGAACTGAACTACGTCCGTCAACCACTCGACACCTCCGTCGGGGTCGACCTCGCCCGCCCGAATCCTCTTCTCCATCCGTTCTATCAAGTTGGCTCGGCTCAGATCCACTACATCCAAACCATCAAGCGCTGCGGTAGCGACAGCCTTTAACGTCTCCTCGTCGCACATGTACATCTCCGACCGGATCTCGAGAAGTAGTTCTGGCGTCGACATCTTGACACGTTTTGTAAAGCTTTATCCCGGACGAGCCCCCAAATGTAACCCGGGTGGAGTAGTAGAGTCTGAAAGGATGGAGTATGCTTAATAAAAGAATTCAGACGACGAAGTCCCGAACGAACGAGTTTTAATTACTCAACATGGCGGAATGCGATAATGCTAATCCCAGAATCCCCCACGCGCGCGAGACTATTGTCAACGTCAGGGTAAGAGGCTATTCCAAAAATTATAGTACCCCTGTTTTTAACCCTATCTTTCATCTGTCACAGGCGCTCTAGACAGCGCGTCTGCCAATGGTATCTCATTTCCCGCTTTATATTTCAAACAGTATGCATGAGTACTTCTGTGCCCTCAGAATGAGATTCTGTAGCCTTTTCTGGGCCTTCGAAAGTGGCTTTGCGCAAATCGCGACCAGCGGTTTGTGGTCCGTCCAGACCTCTACCTCTCGCCCGAAAGTGTAGTGATGGAACTTTTCCAATCCATACGTCATGGCCAGCATCTCCTTTTCTATCTGGGCGTAGCGGCGTTCAGTCTCAGACAAAGCACGGCTTGCATACGCCACGGGCCTGCCCTCTTGCAGCAGAGCAGATCCCAGCCCATACTCACACGCGTCGTTCTCTAGGGTGAGGGTCTTAGCCGGATTGTAGAAAGCCAACACTGACGTTTTTGTGATCCTTTCCTTCACCTGATCAAACGCGTCCTGCTGCGCTGTGGACCACGTCCACGCAACATCCTTCTTCAGCAGGTTGTGGAGTAGATGGATTAATGTGGTGACTTTGGGGACAAACTTTGCCAAATAGTTGACCATCCCCAGAATCTTACGTAGCTCCTCCAACCCACCTGGTTCCTTCATATCTCTGATTGTAGACACTTTCTCATCGTCGATGACCAGGCCTTCTGCCGAGATACGGTGGCCCATGAAGGTCAAGGTATTCACTTCTGCTTCCATCTTGTCAGAATTCAGCTATATTCCTACCTCCCTGCACCTATCTAGAAATTTCCCCAGTCTCTCATCATGCTCCTGCATGGTTCTTGCATGAACTACCACATCATCAGCTATGCAGAGCACCCCTGGTAGATCGCTGAGGGCTTCCAGCAGCTTCCTCTACAAAATTTCTGATGACACACACAAACCGAAAGGTAACTGCAGCCATCGGAACCTTTCAAAGCACGTCTGACGGTCCAACTTAACATGCCAATATCTCGAGGCGAGATCCGCCTTCGAGAATACACTTGAGTCACTCAACTCATGTAGTGCATCGTCGAGAACGGAGAGCGTATAGTGCTCACGTAGGAGCACCTTATTCAGCTCGTGGGGGTCAATGCATATCCTCAAGGCTCCAGACTTCTTGTGCGCAACTACCATCTGGCTGACCCACGGCATCGGCTCCCCAACCGGGCTGATGACATTTAACTCCTTCAGCCTCCTCAGCTCCATCTTTAGTTTCGGTCGCACCGCGATGGGGACTCTCCTGTTGGCCATCACCACAGGTATCGCACCATCACGAACATTAAGATGCTGGGTTCCGGGTCAAGGTCAAGTTTTCTTATCTTTAGCAAGTCTTCTCTCGTTTCATTTTCTTTTATTCCCAGCACAACTCTGTCTCTTATCATAGAGGCCTCGCACGCGCTGCAAAACTTACAGGTTTGTGCCAGTGTTCTGAGGTCTGCCAGGAAGTGATCAAAGTCCTCCCCTTCCTGCTGACAACGCCGGTGAAATAAAAATCTTTCCATGGTTTCATTCACCTCACCTATGGCATATTCTTGAAATTTCCCTGTAATTTCAATGACAGTTCTTTGTGACTCGGGCATTGAAAAGCTAAACCCACTGAGCGTTTTCATTGCATCGTCAGCGAGACAGTTCTCAAGCATTGCCACCTGAAACGCACGGTCTTTCGTGTGTAGCCCAGATAACAGGTTGTAGTTGTCCCATCTTTTCTTAAAAAGCTTCCAACTCCATACCTTGTCTTCTTCCAAAGTTAGGGGCTGTGGTGGCTTTATGCTGCCGAAGTTGTAGCCCTGCCTGTCAGGCTCACTACCACGTGTCATGCGCGCCTCCATTTGACTTGTGAATCTTTCTCCAGGCTATAACACAGCTTTCCACAAATGTCCTATCATGTGCATGGTTCATTCAGTTTACCGCTGTCACCATGTTACGTGCTGCACAGCCACGAAGTCATAGCCAAAACCAGAACCAGTGGAGAACGTTTACACAAGCATTTAATCAGCTACAGAAACGTGTGCTCCGTGCCCTATCCACTGCCCAACTGCCTCGTGTATACACGTGTACGTTACACCCATCTACTGCCACGTGTGTCGCCACCTAGTGGCTGACTAGGCTATTCCAGACATGTATTACAGCATATGTCCACGCGCTGCTCGGGACACGGCCTTACCAGTGAGCATGTGGCTTACGGAGTTACTAGCGTACGTAAGCTCAAGTACTTCTTGCAGTCCCGACCCTGCCATCAGATGACCAATATGCTACCAAGGTAGCTCATCTCAGTGTGGAACCCCCCCAGCCGCAGGACTGTGCTGTAGAAAATGGTCACCTGGCCGTGACCGTATTATTGTCAGTGCTTTCCAGAACAGATCGAGGCTGGTCAAATGTGATAACCGGCGTAACGTTATTCTGCATTACCTGAGATGAAACGAATTTTACCATAGAGTAGATGCAAGAGTAGTCTGTAGGATCAAGATCAATCATGGGCAGAACTATCACAGATGAGTTTCCTGGATATTGACCGTGCTGTAACATCTGCATCATCCCAGACCACGATGGCCTATGAGAGCCTAACAAGAGAGACTTCTTCCAAAGTATATCAAGATGAGACGTTGCATGCACCCTTGAAATATCCCCAAGTGGCCGATACATTAGAGGTAGAATTTTAGGTTGCATCTTG